ATGAGATTGAAGTAAGGGTTACGAAGTCAATCGTATTAGGGTTAATTTTCAATACTTTGGCAATATTAAGAAGTCCAATGATAAATAATGCAGAGTTATGAAGAAACGGAGAATTGGACGAATTTTGATCCACTTGAATGATGGGCGAATTACTGAGGAAATGGAACATCAGTGTATGAAGAAAGAAAAACACTCTCTTCAGCCCGGACTTCCCTTCGATAATCTTCGGACAACCTCTGCAGATGGAGCTGCCATAAGGTTTTATACTCATGTTATATTTTCAATACGGGGGAGCCTTGTCGACTCATAAATAAGAGGTCATCCTAAAACAAAACCTATGTATGAGTTTAGAAAACGGAAGCGGCAGGCTATATCGTCAATAAGGGTAACATGTAGAGTTGTTTGAAACGCACAGTTTTGCAGAACCAAGATTATGACTAGAAATTAATTAATTAATGAATTATGTTAGTCTGCAAGAATTGACAAAACAAACAATACCCTCATGAGGAGGAACGAGGGCAGAAAATTAAGCACCAAGTAAGAGGAGACTTGACTAACCGGGAGTCTGGTTTGGGCTCTAACATGACAAATTACTCCTAAGCTTTGCCAGCGCACAGTGCATATGGACTTGCAATTCGAAAACATGTTTCAGCACCAAACATTAGTTGATTTAGATAAGGAAATAGCTGTGATCGCATTTATTTCCTTTTACTGCATTAGCCTTACCAATATGCAAGTATGCTGGGTAAACGTGTAATACTAAGCTAGATAATGGGATGCCTAAGTAAGATAACAAAATTAGGTATAAGAAGTGAGTAGAACTTCAGTTTGATGCGCTTCTTAGCTTAATGTTCTAGGGAATCTTTTCGTAAATGATGGTTTCTATCATTGATGCTGACAAAAGAAGGTTCCGCACTGATTCAGTGGGGCCGCAAAAAGTTGGGTTGAAGTCATCTCTGCAACATACAGCAAAGCCTAGGCAATCCTCCTCTCATCTGGTTTCACGTCGATCAGACAAGCATAGTTGTGCGTCTATCTGTCTCATTAAGGGTCATTAAACTTTGACAACCTTTTAATTACTCGGACCTGGCGGCTATGGTTCCCACATATACAAATGCATGCATACTAGCCTATACAGACAAAGCTACCCATTCATACATGTATGCATATATCTGTACACTCATACTTGCCTACACAAAAATACAAAGACACAGACTCACATTTAGGCTCAAACGTAAATATGCATACATGAACTATCCAGCAAATCAGATATATGAGCTGTGTTCACCTTAGTTTGTTTATTGTAGTCTCGAAAACTTACTTGCAAACCAAAAATAATTAGTGTAGTCGATTGCTATAGCAAATATAATGTTGCTTCATTGACAATTCCACCACAGCATGTGATATGGAAAAATGGCTGGTTTTTCTTGAAATCCACATATGCCTTGTGACCCAAAGGCACTCGTGGCAATGTGGCGTAATGGTTAACGGGCCGAGATTGTACGCTGCAGTGTCATAGTTCGAGTCCGGGGCTAATTAGACCAAGACGAGGTCGCAACTGCAGGCTTCCCTGAATAAGAGGACTGATGGACACATCTCATATATATTCATAAAAAGAAAAAAATTTGATATAAATCGGTATAGAACGATTTTGCTAATTCTATTATTCTCGAGTGTGTGCATGTGTGTGTTGACGTCTGTACGAAAAACTGGCCATAATTTGGACTAATTGGATTTGAAATATACAACTTCTGCTTGACTATAATCACTCTTGCCCTTCAAGCATTGATATATTAGACATATTCTCGTCCTTTCTCGGTTGCCTATTTTTCTCTCTCTTTGAAAGATTACTTGGTCCATGAATCTGCCTGGCGGTCGGTCTGAACGCGATAGAAACTCAGTTAGTACTGCCTCTGAACCAGACAAAAGTCGTCAGGAGATCAAGCGATCAAATTGTATACGTTAGAGTAAATGGGCTTTCAGTGAAGCTTTTGATATATCAGTGTCGACTCAATGTGTGTGTGGAGAAGATTCTTATGAGACTGGTCACATCATACATCAGATTCAAAAAACACAAGAACGCTTGTAGTGGTTGCTGGGTCCATAGGTAATAATTTTGTGAGGGACCTGTGATATGACTCATTGGGTTGTCAGGCCTGCTTAGAGTGCGTAACCTCGACTGACGAAGTGTTGTCTATTCAAGTAAAAAATAATTATCATAGTAGTTATCAGATTTTGTCTCTTCGACGAGTTGTAGAATGGCACTAAGAATGGCAAGACTCACTGACAATAATGACTATGTTGCCTACGAAACGTCTGGAAATTATGATACCTACTATAGCAGAAAACCTCAGACAAGATGATTCAAACTAGCACAGCCAAGTTGACAGAATTAGATCATACCGCTACCATTAAGCTAAGGGGAAACCCCTCCTTATGCATCCTTGGGAGAAAACAAGCCGAGGATGCTATAGCATCTTTTTGAATTAGGGAATTCGTTTTTAACTTCTCAATTTCCCCGAAGCCCTGTTTTCCTTTATGTCTAAGAATGAAGGCCCATCACGCTTTTATTCGAACTGAAGGAGAAGGCTACAACTGTTGAGCCAGCTTACGCGTCCCAGGACACTTCACTTTTGTGTGAAATCAATTTCACCTTAACGTCTCCAGATAAGCGCTATTATTCTTATCCTTATTATATTATATTATATATTATTTTGAAATGTCTGTGAACTTTTGATATTTTAGTATTTGATAGCTCTGCTTCATTGACAAAACTGACCAGAAGACTTGACTCAGCCGCAAATTTTCCCTGCTTCACTTATTTACTTATTATAATCGCACTTCGAATGCTATTCATCACTCCGTAACGAGGATATACCATTATATATATACATATATATATATAGAGAGAGAGTCTCGTTTCACCTTAAAACTCATCAGTTCCGACGCCATATGTCCGAGTGGACACACTATCCAGTCTTTGCTCGGCCAGAGAGCTTTTATGAATACAAGATGTTGGGAAATCCTTTTACCAATATGGGCTTCTCTTCTGCACCCCGTCACTATAAACAACAAATTGGTATGAAATGTGATCCCCCTATCTCGTTTAAAGTGATGAAGGACAGGTAGTTAAACTTTTCCATGATGATATGAATAGACCCTATGTTTCCAATTACTTGCAGATAGACTTGTTTCCCGAAAGTTAGTCTCATCCAAAATTGACTGCAATAATGTGAAATACGAGGTCGAATCTGCAATCCATCTCCGCCCGAATGTAGATACTTTTTGGTAAAACAAAGCTATGTCAAAGTAAATGGAAACCTAAGGTCTACTCATATCATTGGGGTAAAATTCAACTTCCAGTCCCCTTATCGCCTTAAACGAAATAGGGTGGGCACGTCTCAGATATCTGATTTACTCGTAATTTCGAAAAACTGATTATAGGCGAAAAACAAGCTGGTAGGCCTAGGTTTTCACGTAGCTGTGGCGATTCGCCAAAATAGCAGATTTTTTCATTTAATCAAATTAGGCAGATTTCTTTAAGTTTCTCACATGCTGACCATTGTTTATGTTCCAGTATCGAATTCATGTATTAGTATGCTTCCCTCGTTATCCGAGCGCCTTCACAAGGCGTGAAAAGGTGCCATAAAGGGTCTTCTGACAGATAAACTTGTACCTTTATGAAATGTATGCGATCGCCATAAAGCCGGTTGACTTGATACTTTAGGTCTGCCAGGCCGGCCTCGTTTTGTAGTCAATGCATACACACGGAATCGTGTGATAGCCGGCTTTGAGGAGCACATGAGCAGGTCGGCACTAACAAGCATGGCTGGTGGCTCAAGCTGCTCGGAGCGTCACTAAACAACGAGGCGTTTTGACCTACAAAGCCTGTTAAACGACTTCGAAGACCTCCTCCTTGAGGGGTTGGAGCGCACTTGAAGCGTCTGTTAAAGGTCGGCTTAAGTGTGGAGGAGCCGCTTCATCCGAAACTGTCTGGCCGGATAGAACCACGTGGTCGGCCGGACCTCCTCATTTTGAGGTTATTCTGAAAACGCGGAAAAAGTGTCGTCCATATTCCGGCAGCAGAGTCTATTCGTTGGCACCATAAGCCGCTTGAACTCGCCTCCTCCAAGCCGCCGAACTTTAAAAATGAACTGAGTTATTGTAATTATTTGACATGTTTTGTAGACATTTGCTGGAGAATTATGTTGATACCATTCGGGAATGCGGCCTATTCACTCATTAATTTCACACACACACACACACACACATGCAGTTTCTATAACGCGTTTATGACATGATAGTGCTGTAAACACGTCACATTTATTGTTGGAAAGAATTTCATTACGTGAGAAGGTATATGAAGAAGACGTCTGAATCCCGTTGTACTGCAGCCGGTACTGATTTAGGAACGGTATGAGTATAGACTCTAACGCACATACTCGAGCAAAAGTAACAGGACCAGTATGAAAGATAATTAGCCAAACCAGTCTATATCTATCCATGTTTTTAATTTTATTTTGCTCAATTGAGTCTATATAAAAGGTAAGATACAGCCGGATAGTCTTCTTGTACTAGTTTTAACGTGAGACTTTTACAAGAATGACACCCAGCTCTGATGATGTCCATCATATGATGGACCAAAGCTCAGCCCGTTTTCACCCGAAACGAGGAAGGTCTCGTGGACTGCGTCAAACTGAACGTCGTATAAAAGCCAAACGACTGCAGTACAATGGGATTCCGCCGTCATTTCTGGTGAGATCGACAGACGAATCGCTTATTCATGCACTTTCATACGAAATGAAAGTCGCCCCAACAATGTTATCCCAGGAGAGTCATACAAACCCAGTTTCTCTTCGGTCTCCTTTCGTTTTTAGAAGTTGTTAAACCTTGGTTTCGCAACTTGATCATATTAGCCTGAAGGCCCAGAGAAGCGCACCTTGCCCGGAGCCGATGGTGTGCATGATAATCTCCAGGATCGAACTGTGGACTTGGCACATTTACAAACGTTTCGCCGGCATCATCAGTGAGTCTTGTCAGTCTCAGCAACCACACTATAACTCGTCAAAGAGACAAGTGAAGTCAACCTCTTGACCAATTTCCTGTCGAGATGGTGATGCTATCACTTCTCGTTTTGTTCTGGTCCCTCAATCCATTTCCTGCCTTCTAGTCTCGCCCTCGTCCCATCAAAACTTCTGAAATGTTTATATTTCTCAAGAGATATGCCTTTTTGGCGAAGTTACCGAGTGGCTGATCTTGCTCTAGTCTCCTGTCCGGATCTGCCTCATGAAATCGGTCAACCAGAAAGATTATAAACTGATCCCCGGGCCCATGAGGCAGATCCGGACAGGAGACCATAGCAGGATCAGCCACTGAAGGGAAGGGAAACAGGGCAAACAGCAGGTGTGACGACGCCACGGTAAATTCGCCATAAGGGCACATCTCTTGTGGAATGTAAATGTTGTTGGGGGGATTTTCGTTTCGTATGAAAGTGTATGAAGAAGAGACTCGAAGGTTGATCTCACCAGAAGAGGATGACTGAATCCCGTTGTACTGCGGCCGTTAGGCTTTTATACGACGTTCAGGTTGACGTAGTCCACGAGACCTCCTCCCTCGTTTCGAGTGCATCATATGATGGACATCATCAGAGCTAGGTCGCATTCCTGTAAAAGTCTTATGTAAACACTAGGGCAAGAAGACTATTCGGCTCTATCTTACCTCTTGTATAAGAAAATTATAAACCCATATAGATATAAAGTGAAGAAAAGTTGGGTTTCGAGGAATCTCTTGTTTCATAACTGTTGAGCTTACTTCTATTTCGAGTGAAAGTGTTGGGTGAAGAGATTTGAAGAGATGCTTAGCACCTTTTCACCGGAATCGAAGGAGATTGTCTCGGAAACAGCGTCAGTATGAATCTTCCAGTAAAGCTAATCGACAGCTAGTCAAGAGGAATCCGCCGTCGTTTTCTGATGGAACTGACCTTCGAATCTCTTCACTCAACACTTTCACTCGAAATGGAAGTAAGCTCAACAACAGATATAAGTGGTTTGGTTAATTATCTTTCATACTGGTCCTGCTACTTTTGCTCGAGTGTGTGTGTGTGTGTGTGTGTTAGCGTCTATACGCAA